AATTTTAATTAGCAAATCAATAACAGCATGTCTACAAAACATCTGATAAACAAATCAAATCTGTTATTAAATAATCTCTTGTAAAGGTATATAAATTGACTAATTTTAAAATTATATATATATAACCGTTGCTCACTTTTGTGTACACTTTTTAGCCCCGAATATTAAAGTGAGGAAAGAAACGAATGAAACTTTTTAAAAAATATTACACTTACAGTTATTTAACAGGGGTATTGCGCACTGTAAAAAAAAATTTGTATTCGAAAATATCTTAAGTACACTAAAGTGAATTACTCTGGATTGCTAACTCATCATCTATTGCTCTGAAGAGAACACGTTTGGTTCTGATTATGGTCGCTTTGCTTGATGATGGTTTCATTATGTTTATTATATTAATTTTTATTTTTAAAATTATGTTACAAAACCTTGATTAAATATAAATTTGAGCATCAGTATGTCAGCTTTTTAGTCGTAAAGCTTAGACATCTTAGCTAATTAAAGGTTCTACCAAAGTAGAACGATAAAAAGTAAGAATTACCATTAACTTCTTGTCCTCGCTTTTGTAAAATTTGATTACACCAAGTTTTTCAGTTATTTTTATACAAGATGTAGGTTTAGAACATATTATATCTACATACATTTTGAAAAATTGGAACATATTTAATTGAGCTTGAACTTCGCGGACTATGCTTTCTGAGCGCAGTTGGCTTAAGAAGTTAACAAGATGTAGAATAAATATTGTTATGCATAGATTTAAGTAGTAAAAAGATTAATTTTTTAGAAAAAAAATGCACGAATGAATAAGGGGTCGCATTTGGGTTCCTACCTTGAGTAGCTTTCTATGTTTTCTTCAGCTTAATTTTAGAGCAATATTCAAAAACAGTAAGCAATTTGGATCTTTTTTTTTAGTTTAGGATAGTACCTCTGCTTATAATATCGTTACAAACACATATTAGGGGTATTTAGTTAGCTTCCGCTTTCCAGGGTTAAAAAAACCTATATATATATTTAAAAATTTGTCTACTTTTTCTAAAGCTAAGTAGATTTCTTATTCTTCTTAAAATAATGAGTCCTAAACCATTTGTAATTATCACTAATAGCTAGCAACACTTTAGTTAAGTACCCATTATTATTCTCAATTTTTATACTGTATTATGGACTTTAGGGTAAAGCAACAAGACTTTAAATTGTCGGTATGCTTTGAATTATATGACTTTGAGTGGAATGTATGAGACGTAACCAATCCACAACTAGCAAAAACTACTTAAAACTAAAATGATACGCAAAATAAGTAATATGGTCTTGAAAGAACTTTGTATAGTTATCTTTTTCGTTAAGTGTTATGCTTAGATTATAATATCATTTAGTGATTCCTCGTGTTTTAGTTAGGATAGTGGTTTTGTGAGTATATCAGCCTTATTTTGGGTTTGATTTGTGTTATTGTGTCATTATCCCGCTGAACTTCATGTTTTCCGGAGTAGAACGCTATGTTAACGCGTCACAGTCTTGCAAGATGCGTCGCAATTGTTTTTGCCTGCTTCGTTGTCAGTAAAGAATTTAATATATATGTTATATGGGTAGTACTTCGTAATAAGATTCCAGATAAGAATAAAGTTAATGCTAAATTGGTGTACTTAAGGCAAGCTAAATAAATTATTTTTTTTTAATTTTTAAAATTCAGCTAAGATTCGAAAAAACAGAAGTTTAAAAAACTCAGCAAGCTGTACACTTTTTTGACTTAAACTATAGAATTAAAAACTTAAAAGTTAAGTACGGGGGTAGATAAAAAAGATCCTATACTACAATGCACTGCTAAAAGTAAATTCACAGCAGGAAAGTTTTAGATAGCTAAATAAAACATTGCTGTCAAATTTTAGCCAAGAATCTTAAATTCGGCTATGTGCATGTAATAGTAAGTGCTAGATAACAATTTAAATAAAAAGCCTTAAAAAACTTGCCTGGGACTCTACTTTTCGACAGCTCAGTAAGGACTATCAAGATTATTGTATACTATAAGTGAACTTTTGTTAAAATGTCGATAGCACACACAATGTAGTTATTAGGGACCACGAATTAAAATTTTATGTGCAGGAATTAAAAATAATGGACTTATCGTTAAGTAACATGAGATAGCGATTATCAAATGCAAGATGAAAATGAGCAACTGATCGTATAATTAACATAGTGGTGTGTAGAAAGATGAAGTATGTATATTTTATGACACCACTTTAAGAGTCTCTACAAAGTTACAAAATAATATATCTCGCGATTATAATATTTTAAGCACAGCGACTCCTTAATTTATATACAAAGTGTTCTTGAACAACACCTTTTTTTCCTCAAAAGAAAAAATTATAAGGATAGTATGTCCTTAAAATTAAAGATGCAGTCTTCCATCCGTCTCTCATAGTCTAGACTTCATGATTTTAAAATTCGATGGAACGTAATTATTCACTATTAATACTTCGTATATTTAATGTTTTGATTATAATACGTTTTAAATTTTATTAAGTAAGAAAGCTCAGAAAAAAAAGTTAACTATCAATAAGAAATTATAATTTAAGGGTGCCGAAACATGGCTTAAGTGTTATTAAAAAGTCTAATAACTAAAGGAAGCCCAGTGCCCCACTACTTTTTACAGGAAATTAAGAAAAGTCTTAAACTAGGAAATTACTTCTCTTCTTCGAAGTTTAAAACTTTTTCCTTAATTAAAAAAATATCATATAAAAAGGGGCTTTCCAGTACCAGCCGAATCTTGACTATATTGTTATTTAATAAAAAATTAAAAAAGTTTTTTTTAGCAGTAGAATTTGTTGACGTATACATTTTTCATCATCATTATTACGAGTGACGCTCACGCTTTAAATCTTATTAACTTGGATTGGATTGTTGTAAGAGAAAAATATTCAAACTCACGTGCTTCTAAACTAACAATATTACTCAAAATTTATTAGTAATAATATTACAATTTCCTGATAAAATAGTAAAAAAAAAATAAAAAATAACTTTGCTTAGATTAAGTAAGTCTCATTATTAAAGATGTTAACAGTTTTCGTTTTTTACCCGTCAATATAAACTTTACGCTTTTAATTAAGCCAATGAATCCTTTTTTCTACTTATTTGATTTTTAGTAACACTAATGTTATTATGGAATGTAAAGCTGTAACTACTCTATAATGTAGTAAATAATTAGTATCTCAAGACCTCCTTACCTTATTACAAGAAAAAGACAATATAAGTTGATAGAGCTAATTATATTAGAAAACTAAAAAATTACTATGCTAGCACTCTTAAGAAGTACGTTAAAATTGGTGAAAAGGTATTTTGACTGTTAATGTTTTATTTAACCTTGTTTTAAAATTTTAATATTTAAAAAAGAAATTTTAGATACGATTAAAACTAATTATTCAAAAGATTTAATGCAAAGTATTTTCTGTTTAGGTATTAGAGGTTTTTTATTTTTTAGATAGTATACCAACCATGAGCACTAACATAGTTTTATGTCCTACAACTAAAGTGCAGGTTTCAACAGTTCATATAATATTTTCGACAATAATTCTCCGATTGCATTTCGCCATTAAGCTACTTAATTTCCTTAAATATTAATTTTTTTACAATTTTTTAGGTGCACGAATCTTTATAAAGCGTGCCGTTTATAAACTAAAGCCACTTTACCTTGTTTTACGGGATACATTAACAAGGGTGTTCATAATTATAGGATACAGAAGCAACCATAAAATTTGATATTATTACCTTTTGGGTCTAGAGTAGAAACAGAATTAATAGAATAAATGTTTTCTTTTAAATATGTCTTTTAAATACCTATTTATTTATTATGCTTTTATTTTTGTTAGTTATTAAAAGTATACTTTAATTTTTATAATATTATATAAGAGAAAGAGGTATAGGAATAAGATTCGTTATTGTTATTTTCCAATAGCATTTTTTATAAAAAGTCTAGAAGTAGCAATTTAAAGCAACTTTTTTTACAAATAAAAGTTAATAATTTGTTAATTATTTAACTATAAAAACGCCTTTTTTTTTTTACTGATTTTTATTACAGGTTATACAAAACTTCTATATGACATTCAACCGATTATAATTTAAATAACCATTTACAAATATAATTAATTTACTACTACGTACTAACCTTACTTTTATAGGGGATCTATATAGAACTAAACTTATTTTTATAACTTTTTAAAATATATTAACCTATAAACAACGAAATTAAATTAACTTTTACTATTTTATTAAAACTGGCAATAATTTCCAAGCAATTTTTGAATAGAAATAAAAATTTTAGAAGCCATATAATTTACATAAATGAAATTGCACAACCATTATTTATTAGACGAGCATTAATAGTTGAAGAAGTTCAATCATCTAGTAACAGTCCGCTGGCTTGGAATAGTCTCTTTTCGAAAATATTTTTAAGGGTGTTGCTGAAAATTCTCATTTTTTAGTAATTTTACTATAATTGATGCGACAAGGAGCTTACTGGAGCACACTCTTCGTTGCGACAATAAGTGGTATCTTTCATAGATAATTTTTTTAGCTACTTTATATGCGCCTCTTTATCTTTAGCTTCTTTTATTAGGGTTCATTGCTGTTACCTTGTCCTCCATTGAAAACGTAGTTACGAGCCAAAAAATTGGAAATGAAGTTTTTAAGAAGCCAAAACACTCGCTCTACATCTCAGTTATAGCTTCCGAACCTTTTTGGGCGATTTTTCATTTTTTATTAATAGGCTGCAACTATATCAAGTTGGCTTGTTTTCTTGCACCAGGTTCGCGCATCTTTCTAATACCTTTTCCTATAGTATAAGCCTTAAGCGATTGCATTTTTTGAAATACCAAATTAATAGTACCTCAGTTATAAAAAATTTAACCTACTTAACTAATTTTACTGTTAGAATCACCATTCTTGCGTTCTTAAAACCAACGCTGATTGGAGCTTTCCTAGCATTTTTTTTTGGATGTCGAATTTACATCGGGTGTTTTCGATACCTCAATAGAACTCTCGACAACGAAAGAACGTGGAAAGTACATACCCAGCTAATGCCTGCTTGTTTATACCAGAATTAATTGTTACAATTCTCATATTTCATACTGTTGTAAGAGAGAAACCATAAACACCAAGGTTTACCCCATCTTAGATCTGTTTTAAAAAAGCAATTTTTTATTCTGGTTACTTTGGATATTTGTGGTAGTTTGCTCACCCTGCCTTTAGCCCACGTTGACGTTATGAGTACTTTTTTGGTTATAGTTATACCTATGAATCTTACTAAAGTGTGTTTCCACTAATTCTTACTATGGACGTGGTTTTTATGAAGTTGGAAAGCCAGGAATTGAAACAGGGACCCTTCCTTCCCAGAAGAATCGGCAAGAGCGGCTTTTAGTCAGGTTTAGTACTTTTTATTTATTCAAAAAAAAAAAAAAAGATACAAAACTAAGGGTAGCAATATTAATAAGATTCTTTTTTATATTTTTCATCCACACAGGTATAACTTTATATTACTATTATTGTAACCTCTATTGTTAACTAACAGAAACTGGAATTTTTATGACTAATTCACTTAATGTACAATAAAATAACTTGCTTAAACTTTATTACACTGAAACTTTAATTTTTAAGAGTGCAACAAAGAAATAAATATCATGACTTAAAGATCTCTTTCTAGTTTTTATTACAACTTTTTATATAAACTTTTTCTAATTGTTAGCTTATTATTAAAATTATCACGGTTAAGTATAGACGTTAAAAAGAGAGCAGGCGAATTTATTAATTTAGATTTTACTACTCTTGACTAACTTTTATACAACCCTAAAATGTCTATTAAGGTTCTGGCTTTATAAACAGTCGCACATACAAAGCTTATATGCGTCTAATTATTAAGATTGCTATCATATTACGCCAAACCTTGAACCGGGCTCTAAGATTTTCAAGAAATGCATTAGAAAGTATATTTTTCGTACTTATAAATGATATGTAAAGCACTAAACGCCCATGAACTTAGTTTGTGAGTTAACATACTTAAGGGTATAAAATATACAAATTAATGTTAATTTTTTGTTTAAGAATGGCGTAGATTATGGCCGAAACATTGTGTTTCCTACTGAACATCGAAGTAACGGGCTAAGTCTAGTACGGTTTCAGTTTTTACTCTTACATTCTTTTAAACAATATTTCAGGTTTAGTTTTAAAGCTAATACTGCTTTGGCATTAGTTTACGCAATCTTTAAACTTAGTTTTAACTTCTCTACAAATTTTGAGTTTTTTATTTAAATAATAAATTGGAAGAAATTTTATAAAATACTAGTATTACCAAAAGTTAGCACATTTCAAAGTTAAAAGTGATAAAATTTAATATTTTTTTATTTAAAATTCAGATGTTAGTGAACTTCTGGGAGAACTTTCAGAACTTTCCTAAATATTTGATGTATGAAAGTAAATACTTTTTACTACAATCACTATGAAGCTGAAAAAGCTTTTAAATATTTTTTAAAAAAAGATTATTAAAGTTTCATCTGAAGACATAGGATATAAAGCTTTTTCTCAATACTTTTTTTAAAGATTTAGGTAAATACTACGAGATAGCTAAAAAGTCTGGAAATGTGGAAGCTGCATATTATTAGGATTTATGAGGGCGAGGTTAAATACACTACCATTAAAGACCGAAAAAGAGAGTTGTGTTCGGTGGGAAAGGAAACCGCGGCCTTGAGTATGCGTATCATTGCTCTTAACCGCTGAGCTACGACGCCAACTCTCGATCCCGGTATGATAACTATACGAATTTAATCTGTTACATATCACCTTAGTAAATATCAAATTTTTGCAAAGAGAGGTATTTTCATGATTGCCGTATGAAATATTTGCGTGACGTATATTCATTTCGAAAGATTTTCTTGGTGGTTGAAAAGAATTAGTTACCTTGCATAAATAAGGTGATTTAAAATTTGCAGATAACTAATAATATTATCGCTTACGTTAAAAGAAATACCCTTTTTCGAAAAGCTTTAAAAAAAGGATACTTACAAGGTTAACTAGAAGAAGATAATATGGAAACCTTTCTGAAGGCCTCCTAAGGGCATTGAGCATTTCCTGATGACGATATAATGGGAACTTCCACGAGCAATGATAAAATATTTAAAACAAAAATAACTTTAGTTCTCTATAATGGAGTTTTAAAATTTAGGAAATTCCTCATTTTTCATTACCTAGTACTCAAAATTATTAGCTTGATAAGTTAATTATTGTAAATTTTAAAAGCATTTTTTAATTAAAATATTCTTTAAATTGACAACTCAAGTGCATTTAAAATAAGAAATAAACTAAGGAAGCAAGAGTAGGTTTATTAACCGTTTACTGATTTTGGGCGATAAGAAAGAAAAAAAATCAAACGTTGGTACGTTAATAACCAGAGGTAACTTATTTATTAGCACAACTCCTCAAATTAAGATAAAAACCAATGCGTTAAAGACCCTCACGAGTGAGAATTAGCTCATAGTTTTTGAATGGAGAGCTCCCTTTTTACAGCTTATAACGACTTTTGTTCTCTTTTACTGCTTGCATTTCACTCTCTTTTAGTTTAGATGTCACCATTTTACTTTTACATCTTATAACGACTTTTGTTCTCCTTTATTTCTTGCATTTCATTCTATTTTAGTTTAGTTGTCACCATTTTACTACTCTATGTTCCAATTTTTTTTCACGGTGCTCACGACTTTCAATTCTCACTAGTTTTCTTATCATATTTGTTCATTCTTGATTTCCTGATGAACAGCCAACCCATATGGAAGTTCGCAACAAACTACCCATTTAAATAACCTTTTTTTAAAGCTTCTTTCACTATAATAGTACGTTTGAACGCTAACAAACTGATTTTCAGTTAATACACAAAGGTCTATTTTTTTTTAAATAATATTTTCTTTAATCTATATAATCCTTACCTGCCTAGGATATTTAAGATACAAGTTGACCAATATATTTTATACTTAATGATGATTCCATCGCTTAATTTATTTAAAATATATATACACTAAAGAGATTTAAGCTATCCAGAATATTTTGTATGAATGCTTTTTATGCTACTTTTTACTGTTAACAGCTCAGTTTAGACTTCAAAATCTATTATAGAATTCTATAGGCTACTTAAACACTTAGATACATCCTTTTCTCTATTTTCTCACTAATTACTTCTACCTTATATATCTTTACCTCGCTTTTTTTGTTTTAATAACTGATCTTCCATATCAGTATATCTGTGGGTTAAAGGTTTTAGGATCTAGTATACTAATAATAATGGGGTCCAAATATATAACATGAATTAATCAAATACTTAAAGGCACAAGTAAAATTAAATTATACTTAACATGGTGGAAGCCCCCGCTGTGTCGAACTTAACAAAATATTTAAATTTTTAAATAAAAGGGAACAGTTTTTACCGAAGGTCACTACCTTCACGTAATACTAAAAATAAAGAGGTAACTTAGAACTTATCAATAGTGCCAGTTACTTAAACGTTTACTATTTGTGAACCCCCTTTTTTTTTCGAAAAGCGACAATTACACTTATTCATGGTTAATTTTATAATGCAAAAATGCTTATAATAGCAGGAGTCGAAGTAAACGTTTAATAAAAGAGAAATTAGTTTAAAAATTTACCTCATAAATTAATTATTTTAACTTGTTTCTTAAAACCTTTTTTTAGAAAACTTAGCTCAAACGTTTTTTAATTTTTTCAGTTCTAACTTTCAGCGTATAATGAATAATTTAACAGTAGCTCCTATAAATATTTTGCAATAAAGAGGAGAAAACTGATTTTTTGAGCCGTAGAGCTTTTATAAAGACAATGCCTCGATTACATGGCAGTTTTTTTGAGGAATCGAAAGTAACATTGAACTTATTTTTCCTGTACTAGTAAGTCTCGCCCACATCTCAGCAAGGGGACAACAGGCTCTGCTTGATTACCTATTAAAATAGAGTACAGAACAAGCCAATGTACAAAGGGCTGCTCAAACTCAAGGTTATTTACCTCACTAATAAATACTTATAAAGGCGCCAGCCCGAATTGAAGTACATGTTGCCTCTAGCATCAGAGGGAAGATAGCACCTGCTAATAAACTCAAGCGCACAAGAGTTTTTGCCAATATATAAAGCAGATCTTTCGATCTAATCTTAAAGAATCTTATGGCTTCTCACAACTCAAGTTGACCTTGAGATCAGAGCTTGAACTAAGCAGTTACCATATTTACTGTTCACCGGTTGGGGTTGTTATAAGAGAGGTCAGTTATTAAATAGGATACTATGCATACTTTGCCAATAGTAGGTACACAACCCAGAGAACTTAATGGAACATCCGCCGTAGCATTGCCAAATAGTAGTGGGTGACATAACCAAAGACAAGATTAGACTATGTCCCAAATGTTCTTCACCTGCGAATGGCAACCTTTTAACAGTCCTGGACACGTAATTCAGGGGAAGCCTCAAGGATTAATATATTTATGTGCGACACCTTGAAATGTAGGCATTAACTTTTTTCGTGTTTACGATAACCCCAGAAACATTTTTCATAAATACTTGCTCTGCTAAAGAGTTACATCATTAAACGAAAGCCAGCAAGTTAGAATTTAAAGTGAGAGCTACGCTCAAATGCAACCACTAAGACAGAGTTGCTTAGCCCCCCCAATGTTAGGCCAACCTATACCGCTTCCTTGGAAAGGACTTTAAATGATGTCTGTCGCCTACATCGAGGTGATAGCAGCCTAATAAAGGAGATGGAACCAATTTTTTTTCCTCACCAGAAAAGAAAGTAAGAATGAGAGAAGCTGCGTGCAGGAGAAGGCGCGCACATCAAAATACTACCGTTAAAGCTCGTACCTATTTTACAGATCGATTGAAGACCTTAATTGTCAATTAAT